TACATCTCAGAAGCTTTACCAGCCTCAGCGAGGCTGGTAAAGATTACCGAGACGTTCCGAGATTTTACAAGGATATTACACGGAGGTACTTTCACACGTGCCGTGAAATGTTACTTTTGGTTACATTTTGTTACATTTGGTAAGATTTTTGTACTTGTGAATCGGGTATAAGTCTCATTATGAGGGTTCAGAAGTAGAGTTGATTTTGGTCATGTGAAGCAATGTTATATTGTGAATGCAAATGAACCCAAGACTTTGGGATCAGAAGGCAAGTAAGTTAACCACCAAGTATTCAACTACATATATACCGTAAATGCTCGAATAAGCGCAGCTCTGCTTATAACATTTTTTAAAGCCTTCAGTGCGCCGCTTATTCGAGAGCGGTGCTTATAAAAAAATATTGCCGTGGTACTTTCCATGCCTTTTCCCATGTTACCTATTCAACATATTCCCATAGTTCACTAGGCCTATTATAGGTCTTATCATCATAAACAAATATTTATAAAGAAATGCTTGTGTTTTCACATTGTGTTAATTATTCATTTTAACAGGGTAAAAATTGTATATAAAACCCTGTTTCATTACACACACGGTAATACACTCTCAAATAAGTGCCGTGGCACTTATTCGAGAGCAGCACTTAAAAAAATCATGTTTGGTACGGCACTTATTTGGGAGCAACGCTTATTCGAGAACAGCGCTTATTTGAGCATTTACAGTACACTGTTTACTTATGGACGTTCAGTGCAATATATAAAACCCAGAATACAGTTAGTATTGCAAAGTCTTTCAGACATACAATAAAAAATATACTACTATATTTCGGTACTGTAGCTATGTTTAGTTTAATAAAAATGAGGTAGACTGACAAGTACTGTGGTATGCTAACCACAAAGCTATTCAACTGTATATACACTGTTTACTTATTAAAATTATTCAGTGCAATATATAAAACCCAGAATACAGTTAGTCTTTCAAAAATACAATAAAAAATATGATACTATTTCGGTAGAATTGTACGGTAGCTATGTTTAGTTTAATAAAAATGAGGTAGATTGCCCTTTAAAGACTAACAAACCTTGTAAAAAACCACAAAATGTTTGCTCACACTGTGAATCACAGCCATTTAATTAACTTCACTGAACGTGAACGAAAGCTTAAGTGGGATTTTTTTCATTGAAGTGTAGTAAGTAAAGTGCTAAGAACAAATGTAAAAACCATACAAGAAACAGTGAAGTAAAATAGAAATAAAGAAAAACTTACTCAAAATTTTATATAAATAAATAATGACAATTATTATTATATACACAGAGATTTTTTCTATTTGATTTAAGGATTATCATGGGTACATGTCTTAATGTTGTATCCTAGGAAACATTCAAATTTAGGCAGGGAAATTCCAAAGGGTGGGGGATATGCTTGTGCAGTTTATGAATCTCTTCTTGTTTCAGTATTCCCCACCCCTTAGCACTGCCTTAACACCCTTTTATTAGCTCCAACAGAGGGACAGGCTGGTAAAGCTTTCCAGGGGTCAAGACCACTGTGGAGCCAGACCAACAAGAATGAAAAGATCAACTCAAATGGTTTCAATTAGACATCTAAATACCTTAAAGGCTGGGACTTCTAAGGGCTGCTCCCTCAGGTCCCCACCTAGGCCCTACCACTCAACCTAGGCATCCCAATACCCCATCAGCTGGTATAGCAGCCCTGTTCCCTTTTGTTTCAGTACCATGCTACAGTAGAACCTCTCTTCCACCCCATTAGCACCCACTCAGCATACTTAGTTTCTATTAATACATATTGGTAAATTAACATGGCCACAATCCAGTGCAAAGAATCACAGTTAGGAAGTCTGTACTTCAAGGTGGATTACTCCTCACTTCCTCGAAACATACACCACAAACCATGCAGTGACTAAATGCTGCTAATAACTCGACTCGCAAATTCCTTTTAAATGATTAGCAACATGAGAGGACAGAGAGAAATAAAATGATAATGAGGGAAGGGTGGAGATAAATTAGAGAAATTGGGTATATTTTTCAAAGCACAAATCATTCTACATGTATGTCAAATATAATTAAGTCTATGTAATTTACATATTTGCTTCAATTTGTCCTCATAAAAAATACAAGGACAAGTCAATACTTTCCAGAATTATCAATTATTGAATTGTATGTTTGTACATAAGTTTTTAGACTTCTGCTAACTGTAATGTCTTTTAATTATCAAATGTATTTTGATATATATTATTTACAGTATTTACTAATTTCATTTATTCATTTGTATTTATCTACTTATTTTTATACTTGTATTTTATTTATTTAGTAACTTGTTTATTTTAATGTTCTCATAAAAAAAACTCACCGTTTTCTTGATCTTCCCACAGAGCAGAAACTTTCCCAACGAATGGAGGTTCCCTACGGATTCCTGACCTTAACAGAATGCAGTCCCTTTCACTGATAATATCATCCTTGCGCTTTATTGACTGGTAGCACATCTTTTTAATTGGCGGCTGGTCAAACTGAAACAATACAAAACTTTGTTGAAACCAAGTTTGTAACTTTGTTGAAACCAAGTTTGTTTCCTTTCTTTCAAAACTCTATTTTTACTGCTGGTTTTGTTTTATCAAATTTCTATTTTAGAATTTGATCAAATTCATAGGCATTGCAATTTATATTAATTATTCTTAATACTGTACTTTCATCTATATTAGTTTAGTTTTAAATTGATGCTCAGGCTCAGAGTCTGGAGGGTCCATCTCTCCTTTTTTGCCATCTACTGTAGGCCAGACTGTGAGGCTGTGTTTGAGATTTTTTGTCTGCTGCTAGGGGTTTCTTACCCCTGGATCCACTGATGAGGAGAAAGGCAACCTAGGCTTAATTTGCTAGGCTACGGTGAAAACAGAATGAGTCAGTTAGTAAATTTTTCTCACTTCAACACTGTTAAATTTGTATAATGCAACCCATTTGCAACCATCATTCTTCACTACAGAGCTCAGGAAGGTTGTGAAAACCTTGCCAATAAATAATTTTTAAAACTCCTAACAGACCTGCCAACACTTGGGTCATGAAAATCTGGAGATTTTTTTAAAAATCTTCAAAAAACCTGAAGATTTACCAAAAAATCTGGAGGTTTCCAGAATTAACCAAAAGATGGTGCAAGATACCAAAAAAGTCACGTCACTACAAATCATTGGCAGTTGGTGGCGACAATCAACTTAAAAATGGCTGTTTGTTTATTGACCACAATGCAAACAGGCAGCGTATAAATTTAACAGGAAGATGCATAAATCAGAGTATTTTTGTGGGGGGGGGGGGGTGGCCTATGAAATCGGGTGAAAATTACATTTGATCGGGAGAACTGGAGATTTGTTTAAATATCGGGTGACACCCGACAGGATCGGGTGAGTTGGCAGGTCTGTCCTAATTAACTGAAGTCAGACAGTCTATAGAACTAATGTAGTCAGTTCAGAAAAGACAATTCATCTAGCTCAACATAGCCTTGAAATAATGATTAATTATTAAAGATAATTATGTATTAGAGGATAAGCATGGGTTAAGGTAGAGTAGGACTGGCTATCATTAGAATAAATAATTACTAAAACTGATACATAAATAAGGATAAGTAAAATGATACTAAAATTCACTAGTGAGATGTGTTTAACATATCAGTATGAATATGAACAGAATACATAATTCTTTCAGTTAACAATAAGAATAAGCAGGGGAAAGATGTTTTGTTGAATTTGAGGAGATGGGGTCTAGGGTTGTACCAGAGCGGGGACATACAGTGATCGTTTGAGATTCTGCATTTTGATTGTGCCAGTTGGTTTTTATTATTGGTAATGTTATAAAAAAAAAAAAATTTAATAAAAATATGTACAAGACCACGGGAATGGAAGTTGTAGATGAGGCACTTGAACAAATCTGTAAAATTATTTACGGTATAGACCCTTCTGCAAGAAAGAAAGGCCCAAAAATATCTATACGAGTTGCGCAAAGAAGGTACACGGAATAAATGTTTATAGGACAATTTAGCCCCCTCCTTCTGAACAGCCGCCAGGGCTATACTCCCGAAAACACCACAGGTGGTCAGAGCCCTTGCCAGAGCCTTTGTCAGACAGTTTTATCCTCTCCTAAATGATTGACTGATTGATTGATTGAAAGGATCACAGGATGTGGTTGATTGATTGATTGATCAATTTTACTGGCCAGGTAAGTAATCCACTCATATTACTATAACATTAGCAATAACATCCTGTTTATTAACTAGAGACACATAAAATTCAGAAATCATGAGTTTCAAATTTACTTCTGGGGATAGAAATCTTATAGGCTCATTGGTCTCGTGGGTACCATTCTAACAAGCATTTATAAGTTCAGAATACTTAAATGTTTTATGACCTTTAGTTCGTTTAAATATGTATCCATGGAGATTTTGATGTAATCAACTATTTCACTCAAATATGACTGCCCTATATTGTTTTCACACTAAAAATTAAGTTGCAGTAATAACAGTACAGTACAAGAAATGACAACAGCACTTTTAAGACTAATTATAAAATTTACTGGCTCTAACTTTTGTCCACACTGTGGACTTCATCAGGAGATTGTACAAAGGAGATTCTCCTGATGTGTGGACAAAAGCTAGATTTCTTAAACTGTAGTTAGTTGTAAAAGTGCTGTTGTCATTTCTTATAGTTTTCTATAGCAGACTTAATGTGGCAACACTTTTTGTATTCATCATAAGTAACAGTACAATGAATACACAAATGAACTATTGAAGGACAAAATAAAAAAAAATTATGAACATTTTCTTCTACATGAAGATACAGATGTACTGTATACACTGGACCTCCATTTTAAGTCCTTATCCGGGAAGACTTGGTTCTACCAACCGAATAATGGGCGAGGAGCGGCTGGAACCAGCACCAATGTTAGGCTGTAGCTAGCGGCGCCCCTGCCTTACCGTGTGGCAACTGGACACGCCCAATGAAATAATGATCCAACACTAAAATACTAAAAGGAATGTCTACTGTACATCGATATAATTATTTTCTTCCCATTTTAGTATGGAATCATTATTACATATAAAACTGCATTTCGAGAACAATATGGCTCAATATCAACAAAAATTAACTTTTTTTAAATTAATTTTTATTCAACTTTATTTACCGAGGGTGACCCAAAACAGCAATTGCTAACGATCATGGGGCTCCCACAAAAAACATTATAGTTCATAAAATTGCAAAAGACATACAGAAATTAATTAAATGATAAGTATACAATTCAAAAATATATGAAAAATCAATGAAGTACCACTGCGTATTGTAGCGTACTACATATCTGATACTACTAGATTTATATATTGGAGTCTTCATCGCTATACGCTGGATACCCTATTGGACTAAGGTAAGCTCCATTCGGTATTATTATTACAGTACATAGGCGATAAATACTACATCAAACATGTTATTAAATACAAAGCAACACTAATTACCTGCGTGGATATTAGCCTCTCCTGTGGCTGTCCGATACCCTTCCATCCATTTGTTGACCGTCGTCTCACTATTTTACCGACTTTCTCAACAGTCAATTTTGGCTTACGTCCAGGTCTACCTCTGATTGGTGCAGTGTCCGACACGTTATTATCTATTTAGTTAGCATAGAAGTTCATAATCAAAATGAAAAAAATAAATTATTGTTAAAAATGTATTTATATTACTGCACATGGAAAATCCATCTTAATAGTGAAAAAAATAATGTTACTGGATTCCTTTAAAAGTTTTAGAGGATTTTAATCCAAGTAAAATAATACGAAAGTTTTCCCACTCCCTTTTCAGGTATATGGAGAGGGGGAGGGGCATCTTCCATTTCATAATTTACATTCATGAGGCAAAAACAAGCATAACATTTAGCAGACATACAAACATAATTTCCAATAAATATATGTCTGGGCATAGCTGAATCATTTGCTTTTTTAAAATACATATTTTTGCTATGCAATTCTTAAACATTTACTGTTTGTCCACTGTATTTTCATTCTACTAATCCACTTCATCTCTTTTTCTTCTAAATAAATTTTTATTCAATCTACTTTATATTCAATAACTTGCAGTGCAAGTGGAAAAATCTCTTTTACAGCTTAAATATATTATTTTAGATTTAAAATATAAATTTTCCTATCCACCTCATAAACAAACTCTGGTTATCAAAAGCATTTAATGTTCATTACCAACTGCTATAGTGATGGTTTTTTTGACTAAATGATCCGCATTATAAAAACAGAATTTTATGGCATCATTGATATGGAACATAAATATGAATTGTTTGTCCACTGTACATTTAATCTATAATTCTATTATTATGGACATCACAACTTTTTTTTTTCTTTTTTTGTTTAACCAGAGCAATGAATGGTCAATGTTGACAAGTATTTTAATATCATATGGCGTGATGTCACATGTAGTCAGTCAGTCAATCAAGGCATATGATTATTCAGAGCTCAGTATTGTAATTGTATTTTATTCACTATATTTATTGAAGGCCTGAGGCATAGAAAAGGCATGTTGATATTGCTTGTACTTATTATAGCCATCGACAGGGTGCTTTAACTTATATATTGATGTATGGTACTATGTATTTATCTTGGCCACAATATAATATCTTTATTATTATTATTAACATAAAATAACAAATTATTACATTGTTGATTGTTGACACAGTACTCAGAGTGAAATAAGTTTTCTGGAAAATAATCTAAATACGGAAGTACCCCTATTTAGAAAATACCTTCGGGATTAAAACCTGTATCCCCTTAATAGAAAAAAACAACATTTTTTCAGTTGTTGTTAAGTGTTACACATTCATGTGTTAGGACATAAATTCATCATTCTAGAAGTGAACGACAACAAATAGCCATGTGATGTGAAGGTTATTGTGACAATCGATGACAGTGTACTGTTCACATGGAAGTCTCCATGGACTCATAGTAATTGTGTCAAGTTTTATTGTGTCATCACTCATCCATTCACACTTCATTTCAGTTTATATCACCCTCCAATGAGCGTGTAATCTAAAATAAGGTAACCATGCCAACTGAGAGAAAATGCATAGCATTCTTGGAAAAAACAACATATTAGGCGGATTAAAGTTGGCACGGCCCTCCTCAAAATTTTTGAAAATTAAAATATAATGGAAATAAACCCCAAAAATTATTCAGATTTAAGTCTGAGAAGGCAATTTCCGGCTATACAGAGGTAGTGTTGACCCTCCATCTGTAAAAGTCCCTACCTGGCCCCCTCTATTTCAAATTCCTAGATCCACCACTGATCATTTAAAAATAAATGACTTGACATTGTGCATCCTTTGTACATTAGAACCTAAATTCTTCCTTTACATGAACAGCATTTTCTGGAGAACCGTTGTGTGACTACGTCAAAATGTATGGGAACAATTTGTATTTAATAACCTAAAAAAAATATCATAATGTAGAATTATTTGAATAAATAAATGACGATGAATCAACTTACAGAATTTTTTGACAACACAGCTATTTATAGTTCCAAAATTATTTTGCAATCGATTCTTAGCAACTGGTGCATTGTGGGACAGGGAGTTCTTCTTCTTAGCTTTCCCGTCACCTGTACTTAATCCAAGAGCAGTACCTGGTGACTTTGAAGGTGTAGTATTTGGAACTAAGGTGAGGTGGTCATCCACAAAATGTGAATTTGCAATACCATTTTCAAAACCGTTAGTAAGCATAGTGGCATCGCTTTTACTACCTTTCCTTTCCCTAATTCCATGTGGGCTTGTAATTCCATTTTCAAAACCGTTACTGAGCGTAGCGGCATCACTTTTACTCGCTTTCCTTCCCCGAACCCCCGACGACTTTTTCAACGGTTCATCCTTTTCGTATAAAAGATAATTTTTAGTTTCCGCTGTAAGACTAGCAAGTCGTCTTTTGCGATTTCTTGGTTCAATATCGGCATATTTCTGAGACAAACGTCTCTTTTTAACCACTCCAGTCCTTGGTACGTCATTGGTCTTAGAATCATTCGCTGACTCACTATTTGAATTTTGTGCTTGTTTTTTGCACTCTTGTGTTATATGACCCTTATTATCATTTTCAACAGAAGTATCTACTTTGTCTGAACTATGCTCATCCACTACCATTTCCAATGAAGTCGATGATTTATTGAATAAAATCTCATTATCAACCGCTTCAAATACGTCGCTAATATCATCGTGAGACTCGTTAGAAGGAGGATCAGTAACAAGGGATCCCACCTTGTCGCTGTTGCTATTTTCCCCATCCATGTTATCTGTCACACATTTTTCTTTTACAGAAAGCGATTTTTCATTTTGCACAATTCCATTATGCTTACGGTTATTACCCATTTTGGTGTTTTTCTTACCGGAACTACTTGTCTTGTGTGTCATGTAGGTATTATGGGTAAACGTTCTCTTTGGGTCGCTAAGGACGACCTCAGAGTAAGTTGTTATTCTACCGACAGAGACCCTATTTCCAATCGGATGGCATGACTTATATTCCAATATTTCCGACGATCGACTCTTCCCTGCATTTTTCTCCTCTGAGAGACAAGTATTCTTGTAAGATACACAATTATGATTGACATCAAATTTCGGTGAACTTCTCCTATGATTGACAGCCAATCCATCATCTGATTTACGCCGTTTGCATTTAGACGGAACTACACTCACTTGCCCAACATCAGCCTCAACAAAGTTTATTTTTCTCTTATGATTGTCACTTACCACATGCCTCTTTTTCACAATGATTTTCGAGTCTGACAGACAACGTCTGCCCGGTGACACTGTTACATGTTTAGAATTTCCATTCGGTATATCCGTAGCCTTGGATAACTTACATCCTGCGTTGCGTTGATTTTGGACGTTGTTCTTTCCTTTTGGACTATTTCTGCGTGCTGCTGGTTCGGGGGACACTTGGTTTAAGAGATGCTCTTGCTCCATAGACAAAGGCTGGCTGCTGTCAGTAGAAACTGTACTAGTGCTTGCTGATGTCTGAAATGAAACACAAAACTACGTCACCTTGACTAGAGGAAACCGAGGAAATTAGGGATTACCCAAGAGGATTACTATTACTGTGGAGTATCAAGTTCTTTAGCTAATATAGTAATAATATAAAAAAGCTATCATTCGAAGTGCACATATTGTGCACATGTCTGTAACTCCCATTATCCTCCTACCCTTAAACATCGTTCCTTAAACTCCCCCCTCATAACACCAACATACCTCTTTATTTGTTTCATTTTTATCACTTCTAAATACCTCAATTGTAAATATTATTAAGAATCAAATTTATCATCTTTCACTTCTTTAAAAAAAATACCAGTAGTAATTAATTTATCCTACAACATTCTCATTTTAATATCCTAATTTTCTTTTAATGATGCTGTTCCATCATAGTTAAAGATACTTGTCATATAATACCAGAGTTCTGGTTTCGAATCCTACATGCTCCTGGAAAATTTAAACATTGTTTTTTTTTTATTACACTCACAAGTCTATTTGTAGTTAACATATTTTTATTAGAAATCTTTTAATTCCACATTCAGCACTAAAAATTGTTGTTCTTACTTCTGACTATAAGGTTGGAAACCGCTGCACCAAACCTTTCCCGTTCCCCAACCCCCACAAAACCTGCATATATATTTTCTGCCTACAGACAAGTCAAAAGAATACAAAGTAGGATTGAATACTACTGACCTGATTATGGCGACAACTACAGCATATAACAGAGCGTGTTTTTAAGCATATGGGCCATAACCTGGGGTAATAATGTACTAAGCACTTGAAACATAACAAATATGAAATATGCGCATTAGGATGTATAAATTACCATTATTATCATCATTACTATTATTAATATAGGCTGGGGTTATGAGGTAATGCCAACAAACATGTTTTGATAACCAGAATAAACAGAGGCTTTGAGATACAGTTGTGTTGCAATGAGAAAAACATGCTACAGAAAATGATAAATTAATACTACATATGAAAATATGTGTAGTAATATCTTATTATCTGTCATACATCACTAAATATAAATGTTTGACAAATTGTCAATGAGCGACATTTAGAGTGGTGATGACATGACAAATTGTTTGAATGCAAAATGATGACAAATAACAAAGATGTCACTATTAATATCTTAACTAAATGCCATAATTGATTCAAAAAAATTGTGATCATTTTTCAGTAGTGCTTGCAGATCACTGTCGTTGTCTTCATGTTCATAACCGAAGTTTCAGTATTACTATTTAATATTAAAATATTGTCTAGGAAACTATTTCCTTGGATGTCCTTGCTAGATATCTTTAAAATTATCCCTTCCTCAAGAAAGTTACATCAGATCACCCTTAGCTTTCTTTTTTGTTCTTGCATACTTAAGATGTTCCACTAAGGTCACCAACTTAGATCGCAAGTTCATTTTTATAATTCTACTGTTTAAAAAAACAAAGCGGGAAGATATAGTTACGATCTAAATATTTGTGTGTACTGTATGTTTGCACTTTCAATTTATCTTCAACATGAAAATGGGGATTGTTTTATAAAACTAGCCCTTTCACCTCATTACTTTTAACATCAATACCTGAGTAGAATATAAAGATGGCGAAGATGATAAAATCCTTTGTTTAGAACTTAGGATAAATTATACGACATAAACTGTGAGTAAAACAATTAAGGAAGTACAAGAACTGGAATAAACACCGGTATCCAAGAGATACATCAGGAAAATTGCTCTAATTTCAGTCTCACTTTCAACCACGTTTAAATGTTTTTATATTTTTTTTTTGTCAGCAGAAATTTGTCACTACAGAATGAAATGAAAGTAAGCAATAGTCTAGTAGTATGAGAAGTCGCATCACAAAAATAACAATGATTTTATTCCAAGATAAGACAAAATATCATACAGTACAGTACTTTTACTTTACTTTAAAAATAATCCCAACGACCTATCTAAAACTTTTTTCAACAATATAATCCTAAATCTAAAACCTGGATAACAAATAAGGCTTGTCCAATACCAGCCATCAGTACACTGTTTTTACTCCCTCTGTTCGCATCGTCTCCCACTCTTGCTCCTTCAGCATCCAAACATTGATTCTCTCAAATTCTCTTCCTTCTTCTTGTTTCCCTTCATCCTTTAACCTAAAGATTTTCAAAACTCTTAATAACAAACTCCCTCTAACCTCTCTAGCCTAGTTCTCATCGCTCCTTTGCAGGGTACTGTTATAGGATTACCTTTGTCCTACATCATCTAATAAAAAAAAAACCCATAAAGGAAAATGGTCCAACAATGGCTATGTTCTCACACGGCTGCTAACCGTTAGAAGGATCCGGATCCTGCTAACCGTTAGCTGCCGTGCGTCCATACGAGAAAATCCCGATCCAGATACCAAAAACATGATGATCAAATCACTGGCCAATAAAAAACTGGAAATTGTAAACGCGTACGTGTAATTGGTTGAAGATAAAAATCCGCTCAACTTGCTAACTAACTTCTCACGCAGGTGCTAACGGTTAGCTCCCAATCCGGATACTAGGGCTCTCGTGAGAACCAGGCTAATGATAATACACAATTCTATTGAATTCTAGTCTATGCACAAGACTAAAATTCTAAAGCTCTGTCCACACTTTAAATCTTCTTTGACAAATAAACTGTTTGTATGGCCTATATATGGTCATGATGTGCCTATATATGGTCATGATGTGCCTATATATGGTCATGATGTGATGTCATCATGACCATATTTAGGGATCCCATATTTTTTGTCAAAATAAAATTTGATAGCGTGGACATGGTCTGGACAAGGTTTAAAATTTCTGAAACAGTCAAACAGAGCCTAGTAACATTAAGGAAATGACACACTATACAAAAAAAAAATCTCTTTTTACCTCTTAATTCTCCCATAACGGTTCATAATCATTCTTAATTGGTGTTTTTCATCTGATTCAGATGTTGTGTGCATAGATAATTTATTTGCCCATAGATTCGTTGATCTAATGTATGTTATTGATATTAACATTATTAATAATGTTATTATCTTAACAACCAAGCAACACTTCCTTTACATCACTGGGTGAGTAGGAAGTCTGTTAAGAGTATTTCAGCAATCTTGACTACAGTGTACCTTGTAACAAAGTCTCAGCTATGAAATACCATGATAAATCATCAGGTACATTAATTGGCCAGGCTATTATTACAGTATCTATGACATCTTCAAGATAGGCACAACTAATATTCAAGAAAAACTTCTGAAAATGAAAGTTCATATTACACATACTGTAATTTTTCTTACTATTTTATGAATTCACAAATTCAAATATATTCTAAGTTTAACACATTCTAAAATTAATAAATTAAATATTGTTGGGAGATATTAATTAGGACTGACTGATTTTAATTCATTATCTGAAAAATATAAACCGGCATATTATGCCTTGGGGTTATGATAATGAAAGAATGTGACAACAGCCAAAACTACATAGTAATTATTATTTGTTGGCATTTTATCACTTTCCATGTCTTAACTGTCTAAAGTGCTTAGTATTATTGCCCTGGTCAGCTGAAGCATAACCATCATCATATAGTGAAATCTCCTCTGCTCTAAGGGAAGCATTTCCTACCATGAATTAATATTCGATATCGATGAAAGTACACTGAAGTTAAACAGTTTTTAGAGAATAGAATGAGAGAGATTGACCGGATTAATCTTGTATAGGTTGTGTAGGTATATAGTCAAAAAGAAAAATGTTGGAAGATGATTAACTACAGGTCTGATAATCGAACAAAAAAACAAAACGGAAAAGAAATTGAGGTAGGATCGGAAAGAAAATATTGATAAGCACAACAGCAGCTTGTTTTGCCCTATTATGTATCCAACAGGGGAAAGAGACAGCTGATCTCAGTAGAACAATAAATAAAAAATTATCTGTAAAAAAATTTAGCAGCAACACAAAGGCAGTGTGTGCGGAAGGGGCTGAATTGGAACATCTAGGTTGGGAATTGTTGATAAGGTGCATTGCCAAGACTGGACGTTATCCAAACTGAGAGGATTACTTCCTGCTCATGTCTCTCCAATGTAATCAACACGCTACAAAGTACAATGCTTTCGTTGATTTACACATGATAATGCTGTATTAAATATGCAAATTTAAATCGGAAAATAAATTGGGAGATGTGGCCATTCTCTATGATGTGACACATACAGTAAATCATTGAGTATACAACATAAAACTGTGATTATACAAATTGCTTGTTGGTTACCACTTCAGTCTTAAACAAATTGGTTTTTTTTTTAATGGTTTATTATTATTATTATTATTATTATTATTATTAATTAATAAAATTAATTTATTTAAAGTATGCATACCTATTAAATATACAGTTTTATTCCAATAATTTTTATAATCACAATTTATGCTGTGCTACGATACATTTGTTGCTAGAAATACTTTAAAAAAATTATATTATTTATAAGTACAGATATAAATATTAATATTATATCGCTAGTACTGACTTTATATACAGTTATTATATAATAATTTTTTTTAAATTAAAAATTATGTACCTAAGTATAACTTTACAGCATTTTTGTAGTGCTTACCTCTGACTGCATTTGCTAGATTATTTCTATTATGATGCATGTTCCCCTGTAAATGATGTATTTTATATTCAAGGGCCAGAAATTGGTCAGCAATGAAGAAAGGGAAGCACGGTTCAGTAAATAACAAATGGCGGAACATGAGTATATTTTTCAGGAAGTGTTATTACAGTACAGTATGTTGCAAGACATTATGATGATGAAAAAAATTATGTATCAAATATACACTCATATCTAACCTAATAAAGTATCATATTACAAATTGAATCAATAAAGGCCTATCATACTATATACCGGATCATCATATTATCTATTTCATTTTCATTTCATTTATTTCACTTCACATACTACTTTTTTTGTGATTTATTTCACTGAAGTCTTTTGTTAGAGATT